TGTCTGTGCAGCTCCACGCTCCCATATAATGGTACCTCCCGATATTCGATATTTTGATGATTTTAGAGACATTATTCTCCGGAATTGTTTCAAATTTGATATTTGATGTTCGTAATGGATGCTACAGCCTGAGACAGATAATTGTCTGTGAAGGTCCTCGTCTTCGTATAGCCCCCATTGAACGGCACCTCCCGATATTCGGTATTTTGATGATTTCAGCAAAATTATTCACCGGAATGGTTTCAAAATTGGTATTTGAAGTTCGTAATGGATAGTAGAGCCTATGACAAAAAATTGTCCGTGCAGGTCCACGTCTTCTTATAGCCCCCATATAACGGCACATCCCGATATTCGGTATTTTTCACCGGAATTGTTTCAAATTTGGTATTTGAAGTTCGTAATGGATACTACAGCCTAAGACAGAAGATTGTCTGTGCAGGTCCAGGTCTTCGTATGGCGCCCATTTAGTGGAACCTCCCTATTTTGGGTATTTTGATGATTTTAACGACATTATTCACCGGAATTGTTTCAAATTTCGTATTTGAAGTTCGTAATGGATACTACAGCCTATGACAGAAAATTGGTCCACGCCTTCGTATAGCCCCCATAAAACGGCACCTCCCAATATTTGGTATTTTGATGATTTCAGCAAAATTATTCACCGGAATTGTTTCAAAATTGGTATTTGAAGTTCGTAATGGATAGTAGAGCCTATGACAAAAAATTGTCCGTGCAAGTCCACGTCTTCTTATAGCCCCCATATAACGGCACATCCCGATATTCGGTATTTTTCACCAGAATTATTCTAATTTTGGTATTTGAAGTTCATAATGGACACCACAGCCTAAGACAGAAAATTATCCGTGCAGGTCCACGTCTTCGTATAGCCCCCATATAACGGCACATCCCGATATTCGGCATTTTGGTAATTTAAGCGACATTATTCACCAGAATTGTTTCAAATTTGGTATTTGAAGTTCGTAATGGATGCTACAGCCTGAGACAAAAAATTGTCTGTGCAGGTCCAAGTCTTCGTATAGGCCCCATATAACTGCACCTGCCGATATTCTGTATTTTGATGATTTTAGGGATATTATTCACCGGAATTGTTTCAAATTAGATATTTGAAGCTCGCAATGGATACTACAGCCTATGACAGAAAATTGTCTGTGCAGGTCCACGCCTTCGTATAGCCCCAATTGGACGGAACTTCCCGATATTTGGTATTTTGATGATTTTAGCGACATTATTCACCGATCCAGTTTCGCATTTGAATATTGTAATGGCAAAACTTGCAGGTCCACTTTGTCATATAAACCCTAATATAACGGCTACATTCGGCTACATTTTAACAGAATTTTAACGGATTTTACTTTTTTTTAAAATTGCCAAATTTGTTCCAAGTGGTGAAGGGTATTCAAAGTTCGGCCCGGCCGAACTTATGGCTTTTTGTTTTTTTTTTTTTTTTTTTTTTTTTTTGCTAAGTTGTAATCCTCCCTAGCTCAGCCACAAGTGACTGGAGAGGGAAGAGAGGTAGAGAACACCAATGTCAAAATCTCCTCTCCTCAAAATATTAAGAAATTCCAAAAAATATAAGAGAGCATAGTTTTAGGCATACCAAGGCGTATGCATGTTTATGCCATGGTGTCTTTCAACACATCTTTATTTATTTATTTATTTTTTTTTATTTATTTTTTTTTATTTATTTTTTTTTTTTTTTGCTAAGTTGTAATCTTCTTTAGCGCAGCCCCAAGTTACGTGGAGATGAAAACAGGGTATTTTAAACCAAAACAATTCACAGAACACCACAGAGAACACGAATACCAAAATCCATCCACACAATTCTCTTAAATATTAAAAAATTCCATAAAAATATAAGAGAGCATACTTTTAGGCATACCACAAAAAAAAAGCTTCAACGCAAAAGCTTCTCAAGCCATTTCACAGTGAGGTATTACACCAAAAATTCCATGTTGAAAGAATTCCTTAACATGTTGTATGGATAAGTCATTATCATCATCCCCATCATCGCCATGACCATGTTGGGGTAGTGTCGTTCGTTATACCTTAAGACAACTTGTGTGCTGTTGAGTAGTTAATTTATTGCTTCTTCTGTGGAGAGTTTTATATTGAAACACACGAAAAGAAAACAACAACAAACAAACCATTATTCATGGTAGGCAATTGCAGGAATCGCTTTTGAGATTATTAGCAAATCCAATGGCATGCCATGGATTTGAATGTTTTTTAAGGTTTCTTTGAATCAAAATATTTGATATGGAATACCACACCACCCCCCAACCCCGAATTGGAAGTCAGTTTTGGGAAAATGATTGATTCTAAAATTAGAATGTAAATCATAGTGGATGTGGGTACTAAAAGAGGGTAGGGCAGCTTTTGGACACACACTTGATACAAGTGCCTAAAAATATGCTATACATATTAAAACATCGTTAAGGCTGAAGAATTAAAGCATTATTTAATAATAAGCAATCAGGAAGCAATGCTGATTCTAATGGAGGCGTTCACAGGTTAAGGACAGCGGAAGGCGTACTGAATAATTAGTGGATTTTCTAAACGTGGATTGTTTAAGGATATGTTGTAAACTTGGAGTTTTAAAGGATGTATTCTTAAAGTGGAGTTGTTAAGGATATTTCCTCGAGCTAGAGTTCTAAGGATACTTTCTCAACGAGGATTTTTAAGTAACATTTTTAAACGAAAAGTTGCTAAGAATATTTTCTAAACTTGGAATTTTAGGCCAATTTTCTAAGGGTGAAGCAGGTTTTAAGGATATTTTCTAAAAGTAGAATTTTTAAAGATAATGGGTCAGCGTGGAACTTTTAATGACATTTTATAAAATTGGGGGTTGAAGGATATTTTCTAAACGTCGAGCTTCTAAAAATGTTTTCTCAATTTGGAGATTTTTAGGCCATTTTTTTAAGGTTGATAATTTAAGAAAATTTTCTCAAACCTGCAATTTTTTAAAATATTTTCTCCATGACGAGTTCATAAGGATATTTTCTAAACTCGAAGATTTTCAGGATATTTTCTAAAATTGAATTTTTTTGGGATATTTTTCAACATGCCTACCCAATGATGCCCCTCCATTTTAGATATTTTTAGGATGGATGGACCATCGGTTTCCCTATGAAATAAATGTCATACCCAGCGGCAGGCACCCACCCAAAACCTAACGCCACATATTATTTTATGATGAATTTCCAAGTGACATCCTAAGTTCGCTACAACAGTAACACCTATAACAAATTTCTGGACTGCCAACATGTTAATCTATTGAAACCATCTGGCGTAAAGGCTCTCGACCTCTCATCGCACATTTATTTTCCTGGTTATTTGGATGTAAAATGCAATCCAAAATAAGAATCCCCATCCCTGATTGAAAATCCGAACCCTTCAACGAGCAAATCTGGATTCTGGATACAAATCACCCCGCAACTCTCAAATACAGAGAGTGCAACCCTGGTAAACTTCTCAAAGTCGTCAAAGTCTAATTGAAATCATCATCGACTATGGGGTAGATCTGGAAGAGGTATGCCAGGTTTACAATTTCGGTATCCTAGCCCCATCTGACCTACCATAGACCATGGGTAATATCAAACGAGGTACCTAGATTTACTCTGACCTACAGAAAAAAATTTTGGATCTATAAATTAGAATCTTTTTAAGTTCCAATGATCCATGGACTGAATAGGCACGTCTTACATTACTCTTACTGCTAAAAAATCTTACTGCTAAATAATGGACGACCGAGACACACTAGGGTGACGACTGTGGAAAGCTCATGCAATCCTCGAAAGGTGGATAATTCATATGAGCCTTGAAGATAGCTTTGGAATTCGAATTGAATTCGACGATTTTGGGATTACTAGGGGATACACAAAATGGTTTACATTCAACTAAGGAAGAGCTGGAGCACTTAACTAGGAATCCTCAAATTTCCGATTTAATACCTTTGGAAATTTCGTACTAGCAAGATTTATCCGCAAATTTCTGGACCAAGAACTGAGCTAGGAAGGGAACATTAAGAAACAGGCTATTACGCTCTACTCCTGCAGCAATTCGATAGGTAAAAGATTAGAGAAAACCTCGATCCCAAATTTGAAAACTAGGTCTTTTGTCTAAATCTCAATTTTCAGGGAGAAATACGATAAGACTGGAGAAGTCGTAGCATTCCGCTGCTTAATTTTTGTCCACACTCAGATCCTCCATACACGACGAATTAGAAATTACATAACATGTTGATGGCCGATAGAAAAGGGTTCTTCCGATAGCAAATAAATAAAAAAAACCCGAATGTTGCTACTTTAAAAAAGAATTGAAATTAAAATAGTCACTGCACTTTGGTTCAATGATTCTAAGTACAACGTCTAAGATGAATCTACAGCCAGATTAAAGACGTAGAACTATCACTCCCGGAACAAGTATGAAATAAGTATTACTGTAGGAGTCACAAATGGTCACGAATATCTAAAATTATTGACAAATAAATGGAGACGAATGTCCAACCCCAATTTAATTTTCTCAGGCCAAAGAACAGATGACGTAGGTTAAAGTGAAATAATAAATCATATATCTTTCCTAGATCCCCTCTTAAAGACCTTAGACCATATTTGATGCTCGAAAGTGGTTTATATGAGAAGAACCCCTTTGTTTTCAATTATATTGTTTCATCTCTTTATCTCCTTTTACTAGACATTCTTCTAATACTCCATATTCTTCCCACAAAAGCCCGTTGATCTAATAAAGTTGTTTCCAATCCCAATTAGAAGTTGTTATCGTTAAAGTAGAATCACAATTGGCTACATCACAATTGGCTACAATGGCATAATTTCTCATATTCAAATCGGAGTATTTTTCATTTTTTTTCACATAGACATTTTTATCTCCAATTTTTTCCGTAGAAATCTCCAATATCATAGTGCAAAAACGACAATTCCTTCATTAGCAAAAAATAAAAGTAAATTTAAATCTGTACTCACTTTGTTATCACTATCTGTTGTATTGCCAGATCCAAAACTGGCTAAGGAACATCTGTCGTGATCGTTTTCAGTCAATGGATCATCCAGATCACGCGAGGATCGTTGCGATGAACCCGAATTCTTGGCTGGTGATTTGGGCAGGGTTAGGGAAGTGCCAGAGAAGCATGACTCCTGCATGACTTCGCGTAGTTTTTTGGTCCAAATCTGAAAGTTGAAAAAATGTGAATATTAAGAAAAATAAGGGGCAATGTTAAGCTGAAAAAAATTCGAAAGAGGGGACAATGAACGGAAGATCCTGATGGTCCACGGTGAGAAGAAGAAATATAAAAGGTAACTTATGGAATTCTTTAAATTGATTGAATAAGTCATTTAAATAAGTTATATATTAAAATTTAAAAGAAAATATTCAAAAGAGAACACCAAGAGCAGAAGGTCTTGAGAATAGATTGTGGTAAGAAGAAGTAGAAAAGTTACTTTATAGTATTTTTTGAAACCATTAAATAGAATTAATTAAAAAATATTTCACAGCTTGATGGCCATTTAAACTAAATTAAAAAAATAGAATTATAACTTTAATGGAAACAGGATCTTCTATTCCTGAGGTGAAGAAGGTGAAGTAGAAGTATTTTAGCACTATGAGAATATTCTATAAAAGGAACAATTCTTCAACATCTTCTCTTAATACCAGGCTATCAGTTTACATAGGACTTTTATGAAAAGACTATTTTTAAAAAGCCTACAATGACAGGTTAGAATACCTTGCCTATTGCAGATGAAGGACTTTTAATCCGGTTTCTTGGGAAAGAGATCCTTTAAAGGAATTCTATAAAAAAAAACAGCGTTAAAGGGTCTTAATTTAATAACAGCCCGTCAAAAGATATACGGAGGAAATCTTGAAAAATTCACGGCTTTGGGTCTAGCAAGAGCATAGAAAAATTGCGCAAGAAAGCCAAGCCTTTGGGATTAGAAAACCGGTTTAAAATACCCACGCCTTTGGGACTACAAAAACGGTTTAAAATAGCCTCGCCTTTGGGACTAGAAAAACGGTTTAAAATAGCCTCGCCTTTGGGACTAAAAAAACTGTTTTTAAATACCCACGCCTTTGGGACGAGAAAAACGGTTTAAAATACCACGCCTTTGGGAGTAGAAAATGGTTTAAAATACCCACGCCTTTGGGACTAGAAAAACGGTTTAAAACCCCACGCCTTTAGGACTAGAAAAAGGGTTAAAACCCCACGCCTTTGGGACTAGAAAAACGGTTAAAACTAGAAAAACAGGTTTAAAATACTCACGCCTTTGGGACGAGAAAATCGGTTTAAAATACCCACGCATTTGTGACTAGAAAAACGGTTTTAAAATACCCACGCCTTTGGAACTAGAAAAACGGTTTAAAATACCCACGCCTTTGGGTCTAGAAAAACGGATTTAAAAGCCTACGTCTTTGGGACTAGAAAAACGGATTTAAAAGCCTACGTCTTTGGGACTAGAAACGGCTTTAAAATACCCACGCCTTTGGGATAAGAAAAACGGTTTAAAATATCTACGCCTTTGTGACTAGAAAAAGGTTTTAAAATACCCTCGCCTTTGAGAAACGGCTTTAAAATACCCACGCCTTTGGTGCTAGAAAAACGGTTTAAAATGCCCACGCCTTTGGGACTAGAAAAACGAGTTAAAAATACCCACGCCTTTGGCGCTAGAAAAACGGTTTAAAATTCCCACGCCTTTGGAACTATAAAACGAGTTAAAAAATACCCATGCCTTTGCGACTAGAAAAACGGTTTAAAATACCCACGCCTTTGGGACGAGAAAAACGGTTTTAAAATACCCACGCCTTGGGACTAGAAAAACGGTTTGAAATTCCCACGCCTTCGGGACTGGAACACCGGTTTTAGAATACCCACGCCTTTGGGACTAGAAAAACGGTTTAAAATACCCATGCCTTTGGGTCTAGAAAAACGGTTTTAAAATACCCATGTCTTTGGGACTAGAACAACGGTTTAAAATACCCATGTCTTTGGGACTAGAACAACGGTTTAAAATACCCGCGCCCTTCGGGACTTGAACAACGGTTTAAAATACCCACGCCTTTGGGACAAGAAAAACGGTTTTAAAATACCCACGCCTTTGGGACTGGAAAAACGGCTTTAAAATACCCACGCCTTTGGGACTAGAAAAACGGTTTAAAATACCAATGCCTTTGGGACTAGAAAAACGGATTTAAAATACCCACGCCTTTGGGACAAGAAAAACGGTTTTAAAATGCCCTCGCCTTTAGAACTAGAAAACGATTTAAAATACCCTCGCCTTTGTGACTAAAAAAACGTTCTAAAATACCCACGCCTTTGGGACTAGAAAACGGTTTTAAAAACCCTCTTCTTTGGGCTTTGAAAAAGCCTGAAATATTATAAATGAAATTCCATGCACTAGGACCTAGTAACAGCTTAGAAATAGGTTCAAAAACCCAAGTCTTTAGGCCTTGGGAAAAGTCTTCAAAATTTATTAAAAAATGTCTGGTCTTTGAATCAAAAACATTAGATTTTTTTTTCAATTTCTCTGCTTTGGGTCTTTTCATAAAAATTCCACCGCTTTGGTGGAAAAAATATTAGAAAATTACAACGTCATACGCCTTGGAAAAGCAAATCGATACAAAAATTCCTCCATTTTGAGCCTTTAAAAGCTAAAGAATTTAAAAAAAAATCCCACGCCTTGAGGGCTTAAAAATGCCTAGAAAATTAAAAAAATCCATCGCTTTAGTCCATGGAAAAGTCTAAAAAAGTTTATAAATATTCCTAGACTTAGGCCTTAAAAATTGCTAGGAACAACATTTTTAAAAATCCACCACTTTAGGCCTTGGGAATGTCTAAAATTTTATTAAAAAATTTTCCTGAAAAAGCCTGGAATTATTACTAAAAAGTTCTACCGCTTTTGGTCATGGCCCATGCCACAGATTCCCTTAACTTCAAAATAAACAATACCTCAATAAGGAATTCTGTGTAAAAAAGTCCTCTTGAATATGTTCTACCCAAGGAAGACTTTTTAAAGGTCTCCAATCGGAAAAGAATAAGGGTGTTCCGTAGATAGATGACCTTTAAAGGGACTTCTACAGAAATGAGATCTTCAAAAGGCCTTCTATATTTGAAAGACCTTTAAAAGGGCTTAAAAAGTCATATATGAAAAAGGGTCTGAAGCCACCAATCAAAGGTCTTCTATCTGAAGAAGGACTTATGAAAATCTTTTATCTATGGGAGACCTTTAAAGATCCTACTTTCATAGGTGACCTTTTTAAGCTCTTTTAAAGGTCTTCCAAAGTCTTCCTTTAAGGTCATCTATCTATCTATAAAAGACCTTTTGCCGGACCCCTATCTATAGAAGAAGACATCTTGTTCTTCTTTAGAAGAAGACCTCTTGGTCTTCTGTAGAACAAGACCTCATCGTCTTCTATAGAAGAAAACCTCATCGTCTTCTATAGAAGAAAACCTCATGGTCTTCTTTAGAAGAAAAACTCCTGGTTTTCTATGGAAGAAGACCTCCTGGTCTTCTATGGAAGAAGACCTCCTGGTCTTCTATGGAAGAAGACCTACTGGTCTTCTATGGAAGAAGACCTACTGGCCTATGAAACTCCTGCTATGGAGGAAAATACTATCAAATGGCTTATAATTCTGAAATTCTTAAAAATCTACTCTTTTCATAGTGGAGCCTTAAAACGTATTCTAGAAAAAGTTGATTTAAAAGGGAGCCTACCGAAGGTTTTTCTACGGACAAAGATCTTTTGTCCTCTAAAAAAATTTCCTTACCTGTTTGGTCTCCAAACTATTGGCTTTAAGTACAATGCGACAATCGGACAGCATAGGTGAGCGACCTGTCCAGACGGCAAATTTCGTTTCATCACCCTCAATGTGTTCGGTTATGCCGAGATCTAAAAACAATTCAAAAATAATTATTAGCAAACAGAAAATTCAAATTCAAAATCTCCCAACAACCCACCTGTGGTCATTAATTTACTCTTAAACTGATATTTAGCCGATCCATTCGAATCCTTGACCTCTTTGGCAAACAGCAAATACATTTCGAATAGAAATACTCTGCGATCACGTCCTTTGCGTATCAATTGCTTGGTATCCCAGGCTTGGAATGCATCTTGCAAGACAACCTCACCTAAACTGTCGATGGAAACATCACAGTTCTCGAGCAACGACAAATGCATGGCATCGTTGGCCTTCTTCGGCACGTTCAACATCACCTCCAGGCCCTCCTTAATTTCACCATGTGATTCTTCACAGCACGATAGTAGATCTTTGAGTAATAGCTGATATTTGGTAATTCTTTGCACAGGTTTAATCAGATAGGCGGGCAGGGGATGTTCCACCTTGTGCTTGTGTTGCAGATCATCAAAATAGTTGCCGGCATGTTGCACCAGGAGATTATTGATGTTGGCTTATTTTTGCAGTAGTGCACATACATATCAAATTTACTGGCCCATGTCACAAAACAATGGCCCACATCTTCGGGCATTGTTTCGTATTTCTCCAGCTCACGTAGGAATATCTTATTGTGGAAATTATAGATTTCACGTATATTGCCGAAAATGATGTCCTCCTTGCCGTGCAGGGCAGTGGGCACACCTTGGCCGAAACGAAATTCTTCCAGGAAACATTTGATGCATGTTTCCAAATCTTTGACATAAGCTCTCTCCGTTTGCATCAGTTCGGCCATAATGAATTCTTTTCGCCGAGCCGATTTTCGCTTCTCTTCATTGATCTCCTTATTGGCCACGGTCGTTGAGGTAGTCAGCTTGGCTTCTAAAGTAGGATCTGAATGACGATCGTTTGACGATGATGAGGATGAAATTGAACCAATGCCGGAACTCATCGACACGTTGGTATCTGATTCGCTAATCATGCCCAGTGATTTTTCCAATTGTTCCCTATATGAGTCCATGCGATTGCTAAAGTCCTTGTACCTTTTGAGAGGAGCAGGAGGAGGAGGAAGGTTGGGAGGAAATTAATAAATAATTTTTAAGCTTTAATTGTTAGATGTAGTTTTGGTTCGTTAAGAGGCGATATGGACAGGAAGCCTTAAAGGTATTCTATGAAAGAAAGATGCTTATAAGGTCTTCTGGAGATAGAATTTGTTTAAGACCTTAAAGAGAGGTTTAATGGATAGATAAAACCTCTTGAAGATGTTCAACCTAAAGAACCATATTTAAGGTCTTCAATTAGAAAAAGACTTCTCAAAGGTCTCCAGCTGAAGAAGGTCTCGTAAAGGTCATCTGATTAACTTCTAAATAAGATATCTTGAAGGAATACAATAACGAAGTCCCCTTAAAAATTTAATATCTTAAGAAGACCCCTTTTAAAGATCTCCAATCAGAAAAAGGCTTCTCAAAGGTCTACATCTGAAGAAGGTCTCAAAGGTCTTCCACTTTTAAAGATCCTCTATTCATATATTACATTTTTAGGCCTTTCAAAGGTCTTCCACAAATAGAATTCCTCTTGAGGATCTCCTTTCTATAGAAGTGACTTTAAATGTCATCTATTTAGGCAGCCAGCCTTTAAAGGTATTCGATAAAAGAAAGATGTTTAAAAGCATGTAACCTTTATGGGGTCTTCTGGAGGTAGAATATCTTTTAGACCTTTAAAAGAAATTCTATGAATAGCTTAACTTCTAAATAAGACCTCTTGAAGGAATTCTGTATAAAAAAGTCCTCCTGAAGATATTCTAACTAAAGAAGAACCTTCTTAACTGTCTCCAGTCAGAAAAAGACTTCTCAAAGGTCTTCTATCTGAAAAACGGCCTCATAAATGATTTCTACTTTTAAACAGCCTCTATTCATAGATGACTTTTTTAGACCTTTCAAAGGTCTTCCACAAATAGAAAGCCTTTTGAGGATCTCCTTTCTACAGAAGATATTTTAAATGTCATCTTAATCTTTGAAGGTTTTCTATCTATAAGAAGAACCTATTTAAAGGTCTCCAGTCTGAAAAAGACTTTTCAAAGGTCATCTATCTGAAGAAGGTCTCATAAAGGCCTTCTACTATTAAAAGAGTCTCTAATCATAGATGACTTTTGTAGACCTTTCAAAGGCCTCCCATAAAAAGAATGCATTTGAGGATCTCCTTCCTATAGAAATCCCTTTAAATGTCATCTATTTACAGAAGATCTTTGAGGGTTTTGTATTTATAAGACATTTTGAAGTAATCCTATCTATAGAAAGTCCTTAAAATGTCCTCTATATATTGAAGGGTTTTTGAAGGTCTTTCATTTACAAAGGTCTTTTGGAGGATCATCAATCTAAAGAATACCTTTTGAAGGTCCTCTATCTATAGAAGACCTCTTGAAATTCCTTTATCTATGGAAGACCTTTTGAAGGTCCTCTATACATAGAAGGCTTTATGAAGGTCCGATATCTATAGAAGACATTTTGAAGCTCCTTATCTATAGATGTCTTTTTAAAGGTCCTCTATCTATAGAAGACTTTCTGAAGGTCTTTTGTTTACAGAAGTCTATTGAAAGACCTTTTGAAGGTCCTCTATCTATAGAAGACCTTTTGAAGATCCTTTACCCATGGAAGACCTTTTGAAAATCCTCTAACAATAGAAGACTTTTTTAAGGTCCTCTAACTATAGAAGACATTTAAAAGGTCCTCTATCTATAAAAGACCTTTGAAGGTCCGCTATCTATAGAAGACTTTTTGTAGCTCCTTTATCTCTAGAGGGCTTTTAAAATGCCCTCTATCTATAGAAGACTTTCTAAAGGTCTTTTGTTTACAGAAGTCTATAAAAGACCTTTTGTAGGTCCTCTAACTATAGAAGACATTTAGAAGGTCCTCTATCTATAAAAGACCTTTTGAAGGTCCGCTATGTATAGAAGACATTTTGAAGCTCCTTCATCTATAGAAGGCTTTTTAAAGGCCCTCTATCGATAGAAGGCTTTCTGAAGGCCTTTTGTTTACAGAAGTCTATAAAAGACTTTTTGAAGTTCCTCTATTAAAAAAAGACCATCAAAAGGCCTTCTATTTACTGAAAAACTTTTCCTCCTCTAGGTCCTCCATTTATAGAAGATCTCATGAAGGTATTTTATTTATAAAAGACCATTTGAGGGTCCTCCATTTACAGAAGAACATTGTAAGATTATCTATCTATAGAAGGACCTTTTAAGGTCTCTTATTTACAGAAGAACTTTAAAGGATCCTCTTTCTCTAGAAGAACTTTTAAGGGTCCTCTATCTCTAAAAGACCTTTTGTAAGTCCCCTATCTATAAAAGACCTTGAAAGGTCATCTGCTTAAAGGTGTTCTCTTTTTAGGAGACCTTGGAAGACCTTTACAGACTTTCCATTTATTGAAGACTTTCTAAAGGTTCTCATCCATAGATGACTCTCTAAAGGTATTCTGGCGTAGAACACAATTTGCGATCCTTTTGAAGTTCTTCCATCTTAACGAACCAACAATCACCCCTTATAATTAAAGTTCTCTTCTGCCATTCGGTTTTTTCTCACCTTTGATCCACCGACGCCACCCATTGCTTAATCGAACTGGCATGGGCATGACCCTTCTCCACCAAACTATCCGCCAGCTGGATCAATAGTTTAACACGTTCCCTTGTCTCCTTGGCTGTGCCACGGAATTCATTGTGCTCTTTGAGCAAACCTTCGGTTTCTTCGCGAGTTTTACCCACCAAATTGGTGCGGGACGAGAGATAGGCCTCTCCCGTGTTGTGGATCCATTCAATGGCCTGTTTGGCGCTACGTTCGAACAGCACAAATTGTTGACATTGATCCAGCGATTTCTTGCGTTGTGTCCAGAATTCCAGCACTTGATTCTCCTGCGTTAGCAATTTATCCAAAATGGTTTTGACACGATTTTCACAATTTCCCTGGGATTGATATTCATAGTATTGCTGTGAGCGATTGGCATATTTGAGGAAAGTTTCGGCGGTACGACGTGCCAACGTGCAGGCCTTCAAGAAGGCTTCTTTTTGTTCCTGATGTTTGGAGATAAGCTGGACAATGGTTTGGGATTTATCACTTGAGCCACCGCCACCACACCAGTCATCTTCACGACGATACTCTCGCTCCAAGGAGTCGAGTACCGAACAAACCTGCTCGGCGGTTTTGTAGAAATTTATTGAAGCCGTTACCAGTTTGTGACGCTCCTCGGCGTAGGTGACCAATTGTTGCCATTTCTTGGTAACATCATCGGATATTTCCCGTATCGACTGGGGATCATAGTGATTGGCATTGATTAGAGCATCAGCCCGATATTTCACCTGTACCGCAGAGGTGTGGGTCTTTTCAATGGCCACCTGAAATTGTTCGTGTTCTTTACGCAGCTGTTCGGCCTCCTGCAGACTGTTGGGTGTCACAAAGCTAGCCACCAACATGGCCTCGCCATTGCGTATCCAGGAAATAACTTGATTGGCATCGTTTTGAAACTGACACAATTGGACAGCTTGTTCCAATTTGGCTCGCTTGGCCTCGGAAAGTTCTTCCAAATCAATTTCTCTTTCGCGCAAGAAATTCAAGAGATATTCTATACGCGCCTGGGCTGTGTGGGTTGCATCTGCCATGGAAATAAATCCGGCCGATTCAAACATTTGCAGTAGCTCTTGGCCCTGTTCCAACACCTCATAGGTGGCATTTTGTATATCACTTACAGATTCGTTGTGCATGCGTATCAGCTGTTCGGCCTTTTGATAATCTCGGGATAAATCGGCATGTTGCAACTCCTCCGACCAGATTTCCAATTGCGAGGACAGCTCCATGGCATCCCTTTCAAAGTAGCGTAGACGTAAAATCAAATCAGCCCGAAATTTGCGGGCCGACCACAGTTCCTCCAACTCCACCTTTTGTTTGGACAACTTTTCCAAGGCCGCCTCCAGGGCCGAAACCGACCCCGTGTTGTCGGCATATTCCAACGAACGCATTTCCTGCAACAATGCCTCACCCTGGGCAATGGTTTGCATACAACCTTTCAGTGTGTTATCCTGCTGCTCCCGATACTGTTGCAAAAGTCTTTCTATGCCCTCCAGATTCTCCTGAGATAACATGGTCTCATCGCTGGAAACATCGGCTCTTAGCTGATCTATCCAGGCGGTGACCTCCTTTTCATGGGTGTAAAAAATTACAGCCATGTCAAGGCGTCGCCGTCTTTGTTCAACCCGTTCAGCAAAGCTGGCCACCTGTATTTCCAGCTCATGAGCAACCGAGTATATCTCATTGGGATCGGCCTCACCACTGCGTGCCAATTCATCGGCCGCAGCCAATAACTTCTCCGCATTGCTGTAGGTATTCTGGGCAACATTTTCGAAATGTTCGTGAGACTTTTGATAAACTCGGGCCTTCTGCAAGTTGCGTCCAATGCCGGTATTTTTGCGTACAAACACCTCACCGTGATTCTTTAACCAGTCCAAGACCTGTTTGACATCCTCTTGGAATAGTCGCAGAGCCAGTGTTTGGTGGAGGCGTATCTTTTCCTGGTGCCATTTCGATTCCAACGAACGATGATGGCCCAGGATTTGATGTATGACGGCGAGGACATGGGAGGCTCCCTCACTGTAGTCGGCAGCGGGATTTTGCCGGCCATATTTGTTGTAGCTGCTGTTTTTGCGATGATCTGGCACACCGGGTGGTGGTGGCTGATTGCATACCTGGACCAAATGATCCAGTTGATAAAGTAATTTTTTGCTGGTTGAATGTACCTCGGTATAGGCCTGGCACATGGCCTCGTACAGCGACTGATGGGTGCGTATGGCCGTCTCCAGGCTTTGTATATCTGAGGGTAGCGGCTGGGAGGCCTGACAGGCCGCCGCCCATGAGGCCACACTGTTGCAATACTGTTCGGCCTTGTGATGAAAGAGTACACTCAATTGCAGTACTGCTGTTCTCTCATCTAAGCCGGCGGCAAAATCTTTCCATGTACGATCCAGCCGGGTGGCCAAAGTCTTGATATTTTGAGCGGCATAATGTTGACTTTCAATGAGGCGGGAGGCCACTGCCAAAATGCGATCTATGTTCACCGAGACATTCATGGAGGCCACGGCAAATTTTTGATGTTCATCTTGCAGGGATTTGGCCACCGAATAGTTATGACCTATTTCCACATAGGACATTTGAAAGACATCACGATTGTGTAGGATCCAATCGAACATTTTCTCACAGTCCTGTTCGAAGAGGCGCCATTGAAAACATTGATCGAGTTTGACTTTTTTGTGCTGCCACAGGGTGAGCAAGCGCTGCTGGCCCGAATGGATGAGGTCAATTTGTCTTAAAGCTTTGCTGATGGCGGCCGACATGTCTGGATTGTTGGTGGCCATGCGAAATTGTTGAGAGGCATTTTGTGACTGGGATGAGGTGCCCGAATCGTTGCCACTGCCTACGCACTCGGCTCCAGCGGCACCCTGGAAGAAAAAAAGAGAAAAAAGAGGTTAATTTCCTGATTGGCAATATAAAAATGTTGTGTCCAACTTACCGCCCCGCCACTGCCACCTCCAGTCATATTGATTTTGGCCAACAGCTTTTTACCCTGCACATCCAGATCCTCAATGGGCAGCTTAAGGATTTTCTTTTTCATCTCATTGTGATGATCCAAGGCATGCCGGGCCCCATTTACATCCTCGGCAAAATCATTGCGCTGCAAATCCTCCTGCAGATCATCGATGCGATCGGCCAAATCACTGGCCTGCCAAAAGAAATCCTCAATGGCCAAACGGGCATCGGTCCACTGTTGATGGTCATACATTTGATTGCCATCAAAATCACTGGTCAACTGGCTGGGCTCCGCTATCTTGTTGAGGGCCTCAATCGATATGGTCGACGTTTCGAACTTGTATTTGTGTGATGAAATCGAGGCTCGTTGTTTTTGCCAAAAATTATCGGGTTTTATGATGACAACATTGTGGATGTTGGCACTGAAATGCTCCTGCAACACTTTCAATATGGCCTTGACATTCGTTGAACAATTGCCATTGCCGCGCATATCAATGATGACAGTGAAACCTAGATTTTTTGCCGAATCGCTGGAAGGAGAATGGGGAAATGGAAGAAATGGAAAAACTCATTACTAAAAGCATCAACAACATGAATAGGAATAAAGTAAAGGAGGTGATAGAGGGAGAGAGAGAGAGAGAGAGAGAGAGGAAAGGAGGATGCAGTTAACATGTGTGTGTGTGTGGGGCAGCAGCACACAGCCATCTAAATGTTATTTACTAACCTACCTTCTTCTCCTCCCTTCCTCACTCACTGAAATAAAAATCTAGTGTTGGTGTTGGTTTTACACTTTTCCCAAAGACTTGTCAACGAGAGCCGTGTGAGAAATGAAATTGAAAAAAAGCAAAACTATTCAAAAGACACTTCCTTTACACAATTTCCAGTAGTTCCTCTCTTTCCGTTGGCATCCGCCCCCCCTCAACCTACACTCCCTCCCTCTTAACTCATCATTACGGCCCATTTAGAAAAAGAAACGAATAAAGATGGACCTGAAACAATGTGGAGGGACGACAACAAAACCATTCACATACCCATACACCACCTCCCTTAGCATCTTCCTCTTCATCCTCTTATTCATATAGCCACTCAGTTCCGTATTTATGGCTTGGCTGTCGTATGAAAAGGGTAGTAGTCGAAGTAGAGAATTGCATTCACAATGAGAGTCACGCGTTGCTTTTGAATTCTTTTGAATTACAGCAACAGAAATAACAACAACCACAAAAACTGCAGCAGCAGCAACTTAACGCCGTTTATATGGCGGGGGGAAAATCTAAAATAGAATAAAGTTTGGAACAAAAGAGATACGTATTTGCAATACGCAGCTACCCCTATCCCCCTATGTTCGCCTCCTTCTCCTTCCCAACAAAAAACGTCAATGCAACTGGGGAGGCGAAAAAAAAAGTTGAAGAATATGTTTGAATACTCTTGGTTGGGCATAAATAATAAATCATTCATAAGTCCATGGAACTATGGAATTCTAGTTTTCTTTTTTTATTTTGCGATTTGAGAGATTCTCGAAAAAAAAAATTATAAATTTTTGCAAAAATGTGTGACAGAATAAATGGAGCTCTTTCAATATAACCTCAATGCCTCATACCTCAACTATCATTTGAGTAGGTTTTAGGTTTCAGGATGCGAGGTTACAGATGTATACCCTCAGTCAGGGTAATTTTTGAATGTGTGAAATTTGCAGAGAGTTCGATGCTTATTTAGCGTTTTATGAGCGTTAGGTATTTCAAAATTTTGAACCCTTTGTGGGGGAGGTTCCAGAAGAAGTGGTCCGATCTCTACCATATTTATAAGAGATCTTGTGTTGATGGAAATATTGAGATATGCCAAGTCCGAATGGAATCGGATTTTAATTTCGCGTTTTATGAGCTTCATGGATATTTAAGATTTCGACCCTTTGTAAGGAAGGTACCAGAAGAAGTGGACTGATTTATCCCATCTTAACAGCAGATCTTGTGTTAGTAGAAATAATAGGATGTGTGAAATACGAAGAGAGCCGAATGCCTATTTCAGATTTTATAATCGTTTTGATTATTCAAACCTTTCAACCTTTGTGGGGGAGGTACCTGAAGGAATGATCCGATTTCTACAATCTTTATAGCAGATCTTGTGTTGATGGAAATATTGACATGTGTCAAGTCTAGAATGTTCGAATCGTCGAATCGAATGTTAATTTCGCGTTTTATGAGCTTCATTGGTATCCGAATTTTTGACCCTTTGTGCGGGAGGTACCAGAAGGAGTGGACTGATTTATCCCATATTCACAGCAAATCTCGTGTTAGTAGGAATAAAGAGATGTGTGAAATACGAAGAGAGCCGAATGCTTATGTCAGATTTTATAATCGTTTTGATTATTCAAACCTTTCACCCTTTGTGGGGGAGGTACTAGAAGGAATGGTCCGATCTGTACCATCTATATAACAGATTTTGTGTTGATACAAATATTGAGATATACCAAGTCTGTGGAATGGAATCGGAAGCTAATTTCACATTTTATGAGCTTCATTGATATTCAAAATGTGGACCCTTTGTGGACTGATGTATCCCATCTTCACAGCACATCTTGTGTTAGTAGAAATAATGGGATATGTGCAATATGAAGAGGAACGAATGCTTATTTCGAATTTTGTAAAGGTTTTGGTTATTCAAACTTTTGGCCCTTTGCGGAGGAGGTACCAGAAGAAATGGTCCGATCTCTAACATCTTTAAAACAGAGCTTGAGGTGATGAAAACATTGGGGGATGGAAGTCTAAATGGAATCAAATGTTACTTCCGCGTTTTATGGCCTCCATGGATATTCAAAATTTTGACCCCGGAAAACCACAAGTGGCTATCGTTAGAGCACTCCAGCATTTAAATGTGAATAAATCTTTTGTGTCTCGTACCATCGCTCGTTACCGTGATACTGGTAACGTAGCCAATAGCCCGACGTCAAGGAAGTGGACGGAAGAAAATAGCAACATCAGCAGCAATGTTCCGAAAAGTAAAGAAGCGACTTGATCGAACCCCGCATCGCAGTGGCCGAAAAAGTGGCTCTTGAGCTGAACATATCGCAATATTCCATTCGGCAAATATTGAAAAATGAGCTCGGGCTAAAGCCATTGAAATTCCAAAAAGTGCAAGAACTTACACCGCAACAGAGAGAAAATAGACTCAAAAGAGCTAAAGAGTTGCTTCGCCGAAAGTGGTGCACTGCCGAATTTGGTTCTCTCCGATGAGAAAACATTCGTTGTCCAGCAGTTTGTAAAAAAACAAAATGATCGTGTTTACCTGCCAAAGAGGTCAGCTGAAAATGTGCACCTTCGTTTGGCCACCAGAACTCAAGCGCCGGCCATGGTGATAGTGTGGTGTGGACCGCCATAACAGCCGATGGTCGCCCTCCGCCCGTATTAATCGACCGTGGCATTAGAATAAATGGCGAATATTATCTCGAAAATATTCTGGAGGATGTATTAAAGCCTTGAGCACGCAAACATTTTGGCCGCAGACCTTGGACATTCCAACAGGACTCAGCACGCGCCACCCAAGAATGGTTACAAAATGAGGTTCCTCGCTTAATTTCCAGCGTACAATGGCCACCAAAATCTCCGGATACCAATCCGTTGGACAATTGTGTCTGGAGTATTTTGGAAAGCAAGGTTGGCACTAAAAAATACCAAAGTGTCGATCACCTGAAGCAAGCGCTTCGCCGGGAATGTTCCAAAATACCGCAGAGTAACATTCGGATAGCGTGTGACGGTTTCATTGTGCCGTTTGCAGGCCGTAATTCGTGCCAAAGGTGACCAATTCGAATAAATCTAAACTTATTCTAAAATTTGAAGCTATTTCCGACATTTTTTGCTTCTATTCAATAACATTGAAAAATGTAAAAATTATGGCATTTACTTGGTTGCAAATTGTGTTATCTCACCCTGTATACCCTCTCTGGCCATATGGCTGAGGGTATAATAATTTACTTCCATTAAAGAGAAAGGATAATCCGATTTTTCTCCAACTTTGCAAATCCTAATATTTGCATCAGTGCTACGTCAGGTGCGAAAAAGGACAATATCGATCCACTTCATCAAGTACCTTCCCCACAAAGGGTCGAAATTTTAAATATCCCTGAAATTCATAAAATGCGAAATTAACTTCCGATTCCATCCATACTTGGTACATCTCAATATTTCCATCAACACAAGATCTGTTAGAAAGATGGTAGAGATCGGATCATTTCGTCTGGTACCTCCCCCACAAAGGGTCAATGTTTTGAATAACCAAAACGATCATAAAATCCGAATTAAGCATCCATTATTTCTACTAACACAAGATCTGCTGTGAAGATGGGATATATCGGTTGAATCCTTCTTGTTTCCTTCCCAAAATATTGCCTATCATAGTTATATCCTCTTACGATGAACACAGTGAACCAAAGGTCTTCGAGTAAAACAGCTTCCGACTTTAGTCTACCTGTGCATCCTGAAACCTAATCTTGAACTAAAACAATTCATATATTTATCCGCTTTGACATTTAAGCCTTCTCAAAGCCATTATCTGTACTCTATAGCATCGATGTAGATAGGGGGTGGCTTCTGGGATTTGATGACTTGATAAAGATTAGGTTATGTTCCATAGTGGCCATACCATTATCAAAAGTTCCTCCAATCTAAGCTCTTGATTATTCACAAATATCATGGCACACACATCATAAACCAGCCGTCCCCCAAATTCTGAAGATCTGTTGATTATTCTTTCTCCAATGATAAAAAAATATCTATTCTATTTGTAATCTCAGCTGGCGGAATTCTGTTGATTAAGCATTTCTATATTGCAAATTAGAATATGCCCGTTGTTCGTAATTAGATATCATAAATTAACTCTTTAAGAAAAAAAGAAAAAGATGTGCACTAATTGAAAATAACAAATTCTGCAGTGGCTGTGAGATGCGGCAGCAAATTGAACGTGCTCAGAGCTGCATTTTATGTTGATCATAAAAAAAGATTTATCGAAACACGTTATTCTAATAGAATAGTAGCGATAGTTAATCCGAAACGATGTGTGGGAACAAAAATAACTATTATGTGTTGAAATTGATATTGCAGCAGGAGGGCTTGACAGTGACAAGCGATAAAAATAACTCCAACAAATAAAAAAGGTAAGTTCGGGCTGAGTTGAACTTTGAATACCCTCCACCATTTGGAACAAATTTATAAATTTTCCATAAAAATAAAATCACTTAAAAATCTTAAAAATGCCGAATATAGCCGTTATATTGGGCTCCACACGAAAACGTGGATCTGCATAGGCAACTTTTGTTATAGGCCATTACAATATTCAAATACGAAACTTGAAATAAAATCCGGTGAATAATGTAGTTAAAATTATCAAAAATACTGCATAAAAGGTGGTACCAATACATGGAGGCTATACGAAGACCTGGACCTACATAGACGATTTTCTGTCACAGGCTGTGGTACCTATTAGGAACTTTAAATGCAAAATTTGCAGACAATTCCATTGAAAAATATAGCTAAAATAATAA